AAAAATTATCAAATTAAAATTTTTAAATTCAATTTAATAATCCAGATCTGTACTGATTTGAGAGAATCCAGCTCCCATTTCTTGGGGTTTATATTTATTACATAGGAACTCCAACTAACCAAATTATACGTCAAGCAAAATTTCGCCAGTACTATTAATAACTTATGGATGATATTTTTTGCTAATAAATTCACATTTCATGTTAACGCTGATGATTCATATTTTTTTAACAAGTTTCATTATTTTGAATTCTTCATTTTTTTTATACAAGAAATCATTTTTTTTTTTTGGTTTAAGGCCAGAAGATTTTTGTAGATTACCGAAAGTTTGTCACCTGAATATACACGGCTGAGTTAGGAGATTCAATAACTGCTTGGTTTGACCTGTTTAGCCCTCCCTACTTCTATAATCACCCAACCCTTGTTACTCTTCCAATCTTTTGAGAAGGTTTTCGATTTGCGAGCAAAATACATTATTTTAATGCCAGTAAAAAATTACATTATGTTAATATCTTTTGCTCTCTCTTGAGATGTTTATGCTTGTGCAGTGACTATTTACTGTTTCGATTATTGGATTTTATGTGAAAGGATGCATCCAACAGACATTATTGTTGGATGGAAAACCAAAGAGATGCTTCCCTCCTTATGGTATTTTCTTTCCCCATATTTTTTGAAAGTGACGGTTAATTAGTACCTTAATTAGGTTTGTTCTTATTTATATTAATCGAAGTCAACCTAATAATTGTTTTGATGGACCAGATGATTTTGGGAGATTGAAAGATTGCTTGGATGTTGCATAGATAAGATGGGAACATTACAGATTTTTTGCTAATTTTTATTATGAAAATAAAATGTTTTTCAAACCAAGATCCGGTTGAGAGCCCATCTTGCCCCAAATTAAAAGAAAATTCCAATGGAGATGTTGGCAATTGAATGTGAAGAACGGGTTTGGGACGTGCCACACACGCCAAAGAAGCAGATTGGGACGATTGCTGTCTTCTTCTTCTGTGGGTCCCTCCTCGCCCCATCATTACTGTCTTTTAATTCTGACGGTGTGTAAAACTCTAAGCCATTCTCTGTTCAAATGATTTTAAAGAAAAATGTCACTTAGGGCCCCAAAATACAGAAATTTACATAATCTGAAAATGCACAATAAGCCTGATGGCCCTTCTCACGAATTTTATTGTATACGAAAAAATGCATCTGCTCCCTTCGTGGCAGTTTCTAGGGGCTTATCTTTATTACACAGGAACTCCAATCAGCCAAATTATACGCCATGCGAATTTTGATCAGTGCTGTTAATAACTTATAGGTGATATTTTTTGCTAACAAATTCATGTTTCATAAACCTTGATGATTCATATTTTTTTAACAAGTTTCAATATTTTAAATTGTGTATTTTTTTTCAAAGGGATCAATTTATTTTTTGTTTAAGACCCGAAGATTTTTGTAGATTACACCTGAATATATTAGGAGATATTCAGTTTTATCCAAAAAAAAAAAAAAGGAGTTAGGAGATTCAATAACTGATGAAGGATAGAAACCGGAAGGCAACAACAGGAGTTCCTAGCCAACCCCGGGAAGACAGTCACAGTGCCCCACAAAATATGACCCAATTATATAAAGGTCAATTGGCAGCCTACCTTTTTTAGTTTTGTTTATAAATTATTTTCAATATATTTTTTGAAATTAAGAAAAGTGTACAAATTTATTAATTATTTTTAAAATAATTTTTTATTTGTTTAAAATAATATTTATATCTATCAAAAAAAAATAACGGTTGGTATAGTTTTGCCCCTACTGGCTTAATTTTATAGGTCCGTCCCTGTTGGTCAAAAAAAAAAAAATAGATTGAGGGAGAATAAGTGATGACGTCGAAAATACGCGCTGCTCCCACGCGGTTTTGCAATTTGCTTGTAGAAACGCTAACTTGAGTTCAGACGAAAGGAAGCAAGGCAAACTAAGAGAAGCTGAGAAAGACAAGGCATGTTGACGAAGAGATAATGTGAGACAACGTTCCTATGTGTCCCCACCTTAAAAGAAAATCAAGATATAAAGAGGAAAATTGTAGCAAAAATATAAGGAAAAAAATAAATATATACTTAACAGGGTCGAACCGGGAATCGAAATCAGGCCGGAAATCGGATCCGGTTTTCAAAAACTGGACTATTCAAAAAAAAATTATTTTTTATCAAATTTTTTTAAAAAAATGACTAATTTTTTTAATCATTTGATATTATGTTATATCATATGACTTGTTAAGTTATGATAAACTTAAAATATTTGATTTTTTTAAATTAAATAGTAATTTCATATGTATTTCTTATATTTAAATTATTATATACATATATAATTTTTTTACTTTAATTATTACATCTTGAACCATGTAAACTGTGAACTGCTGACTTTTTTAATTCAATGGTCTGGTTCTAAAAATATTGATAAAAAGCTTCACAACGGACCTGCTTACACCCCCCGACACGCACGCATACACTCTTTTTGCTTACAACTTTTATTTCTTTAATTATTAAATATATAACAATCTAATAATTTTAAACTATAACAAAAAACATAACGTGGAAATTTAAAACTAATATTTTTCCAATTTTTATTCTTCTTATTGTTCTTTATTTTTTAAAATCTGTGCAATTATTTAAAAATGTATTGATTTAATTTGGATTGATTTGACCACCATCAAATAAATGAATGACTATAGTTCAATTGGCAGCCTACCTTTTTACTATCCTAATCTAGTCTGTTGCATTTAAAAAAATATATCTTACCTTTTTCAGTTTTATTTATAAATTATTTTTAATATATTTTATTGAAATTAAGAAAAGTATAAAAATTTATTAATAATTTTTTATTTGTTTAAATAATTAATAGAAGGTCACTCATAAATTTAAAAAAGAATACTTATGAATTTATAAAAACTTAATTGTGAATGGATATAATAATTTAGAAATATGAGAGGGTGCCTAAAATTAAATAAACATTATAAGCAAAAATTGTAAATGAATACATATTGAGACTGGCTGCTGATTGTCTAGCAGGTTGAGAGGGAGGGAGTTGGGTGTTCATACCATTATAATTTAACTTATTATGACTCAATTTTTATAAATTTGACAACATTATAATTTAATTCCTCAATTTTGACTCTTATAACTCAATCACTGCAATTTTAATAATTTAAATATTAGTCTTTATATTTAAAAAAATTATAAAAATTAAAATCATATTAAAATTTAGGATTAATATTTTAAATTATTAAACTATTTTAAAAAAAGGTTATAAAGATCAAAATTTTAAAATAGTTTTAATCTATATAATAAATAAACAAAGCTTGAATTGTAAAAGGGCTGACTTGGGTGGAGCAGCTAAAGTCCAGCTCACAGCCTGCTCATTCTCGTTATCGTCCTCCGACAGCAACGGTGGCCACCATGTGCAGAGCTTGTTCACCAACACCACTGCCTTCTTCAATATCTTTGCCACTAACAGCCTTAGACCTTCCCCCACTCGTTGCGCCATCTTTGCTTTCATATATCTTCTGTTGGCTTTGTCCAATATTGTTCATTAGAAGTTAATATCTATGCAAATACACACACACACACACACTCCCCACACAGTTCAAAGTCCGACGGGAAAAGAAGATGCGAAAGAATCAAGTTGATATTTGACCTGAACTGTTCGAGAGAGGGGGGGGGGAATCTGATAGGCAGCGAAAAAATGAAATTGCGTATTCCGAGTACTTCTAAAAATATTTTGAAGTTTTATATTTGATATGAACTATACAAGTCGATCGAAGATTGTTCAATTGACATTTTTTAGAATACAATAATGAATTAATATAAGAAAAACAAAGAAGGGCTTGAATATTCATTTGATGTTGTATGAATATTAGTTTTACTCAAAATATTTTCTTTGCCCCTAGAAAAAATTTTAATCCCCCCTGTCCTAAAGAAAACGTTCACTTGTCCCTCTAAAAATTTATTTAATTCAAATATAATACATATGCTATAATTTCACTTAACCACAAAAAGGCACACTCAGAGAGACAAAGTTGGGGAACATTTAATTTATAGAAAGGTATGTTGATTTATAAACTCTCTCACCTTTCCTGCAACACTATAATTAGTATAAATTCTGTCGCCTTTCCCGCAATATGCCAGAGCCAGAAGAAATGAAAGACACAAGAAAAGCATGAAGGCACGCCACTTCCTTCCTTTTACCACTTTATAGGCACAGACAAACTCACAGACACACCTTCTGCACTAACATTTATAGAAAGAAAGTTAAACATAAATTCCTTGAAAATAGTCACTTTAATTTACTTTAATTTTTGAGAAATATGACAAAACTGTCCGTCATTTAAATTAATACCAAAACTTTTTTACTTTGCTTGTTCGTTATCTTACTTCACTTAATTCACTCATATTGTAAAATCAAGAGTTAAAGTGCATTTTTGTTCTTAATTTTTTTTTTCCAAGAAGCATTGGACACCTTTTACTGGTAAGTCGGATAGTTTTTCTCCTAAATCATTTTTTTGAAAAGTAAAAATCCCTTTTTATTAGTCAACTATTAACTTTTTTGTTTTTTGTTGACATAACTTGTGCGTGAAACTAATACATAATGATAAGTAAGATTCTAATAATATCTTTCATTGCTAATTTGCCCTTAAACTTTTTTTAAAAAACACTAAACACCTTAAAGTCTTTTTTTAAAAGCACTTATCACCTTAAAATCTTGTTAAAATAAAATTTAATAAAAAAATTATTAAAATACTATTTTAATATTATAGAGACCTCCCCTTCATTTTCAAAACCTACACTTTAATTTAATCTTTAACACTGTCAGGGATATTCCGTTAAATATTACTTAAAATTATTAATTTTATCTTATAATCTAATTTTATATTCTCTCCCCCTTAATTTAAGAAACTTTAAATAATTATTACAATAGTTAAATAAATAATTTAAAAATATTGTGTTTAACTTAAATAAATTTAAAGAAAATAAATACAAATTATATTGACTAATGTATTTCGGGTTATGCATTACATTCCTATTTCATTGTGTTTTTTTATACACACGTTTGAAATATTATTTTATATACAACCGAGAGTCAGAAACAAGACCTACTAAGAGCAAGCAGCTCATCTCAGCTAACCTTTCAAGCTTAGAGGGGCCCAAGGACGCAGCTCATTCATTGCCACAGGCACACACGCAAGCAAGAGAAACAACATAACAAATTAAAAACTTTCTGGCATCATGATAAACATCATCCATTAAAGTTCCATCTAAGGGGGTTCCTATAAATGACTCTGGCACTGAACTTTTTTCATCCCTAGTTACCTTGTAGATTTAAAACTTGTCATGTTGCAGTCAGTGTCCATGGTCCTCATGAGTTAATGGAAGTAAATCCTACATAAATCCCAATAAAGACAAGTTAACAAAAATTCTCAACAAAGAAATAATTCGTAATAGACAGTATGACAATATACAAGCAAGCTGTAATTATTCTCAACGAAGAAATAATTAGTAATACAAGCCAATTTAAAAAATACATGTCAGTAAATAGGTACATTTTAATATCAAGCAAGAATGCAGTCTTCGTCAAAAAAGGAAAAAAGCATGCAGTCATACTAAGAATTAAGCCCAAGGAGACGCTTACATCAATGCATCATAAACACTTGAAAAAATCAGGAAATTTTTATTTGATGAGGATCAAGGACTAATGTCTGCTGAGACACTAGACAAGTCATCATTATAACCCACAGGAACAAATAATCATATAGGAAATCAGAGATGCAAGTTCATACCAAGCTAATTGGGTTAGTGTAATTGTTGTAAGTTCACTTGCTCTTCCTTAGCTGTCAACCTCCTCATGATTTAAGTTTTGAGCTTTACATATCAATCATGCATACAACGTGATTCAACAAAAGAAAGGAGAATAAATTCAAAATATGTGCCATGATAAATAATTCATAAAAGTATATAAGCTATAAATATGTATACTCTAATACATAACAATTTGATTTGGAGAGCACAGTTAAAGCCCAAAGTTTATTTGCGTGATGGCTAAAGCAGCTTGTCTGTCCTTAGTCCTTAACAATTGCAACTTAACTACAATTAAGAGTCAAGACATACATAGAAAGAGATGAGAGTAAGCTAGAACAGAGTATGGAGATATTAATTGGCATACCCTTTCATTCTCAGTTTGAAGCATGAAGTGGATGAGAGTGATAGCTCATGACATACTATTTCACCTAAAAACGCGATTAAGTGTGGCTGCCAAACGAACTCCCCCTTGACCTATCCCATTCGCATGTTGCTTTGATGCTTTTAGATGCATATCTTAACAGGGAAACATATGCCAGGAATTCCCTACGTTTTAAAGGTGGTAAATTAAATAATGAGGCATCAAAATCAAAATAGCAAGAGATTTTTCAGGTAGACCAAGTCAATCATAAAAAAAAATTATATATATATATATATATATAAGTATGTCAGGTAGAGACACATGGAAGAAGTTTTCAACTTGAGTAACACTCTTTCTCTCTTAAGACTTAACGCTAGCATTATAGCTCAAAAGTTCATCCCAGCATCCAAAAACAAAAAATCAAAAACCCAATATCAAGATCAACTTCTCAATCCATTCACAACATAATGAATAGTTCCTGCCAAGTAGCCCCACTCAAAATATCATCTCAGCAGTTTTAACCCAAAACCAAACACCAGAACATTGAAAAGGGAAAGTCCCAGAAAATCCAGCTGCAAAGAAAGAATAGTTGTGCACAGATTTTTCAATTACAACATAATTAATTACAGCCCAAAGAACAATAGTACAGATGAAAACTATTTTATTTTTTTCTTTATATTATTGATCAATGAACCATTGACTAGTGATTCGCATTCCATAAAAAACGTGATTGTTAGTTCCCTTAGCAAGGAGTAATTGAGTAATTTACCGTGAAATGAAAGTTAGAAAAGATTCATCATGTCATGAGAATAAGAAAGCAGTGAATTAAACAAGCAAATATAGCAAGGCCACATACCAGCTATTTCCTGTCATCCATTAATTGTGCACCAGTTATCAAGTCTGAATATGAAGAGAGAAAAGAAATGGAGAAATAAAAACTGAATATGAATTCAATAAATCAAGTATGACATTATAGTTAGTCTAATGCCTCTTATTTATAAGCATTATTCTTATATGAATATATATCCTAATCTATCCAAATCCTACTAATATAAATAAATATTAAATCCTATCTAATAAACCAAATCTTATCCAAATCCTAACAGTATAATTAAATATCAAATCCAATCTAAACCTAAACTTTTTCAAATCCTAATATAATTAAATATCAAATCCTATCTAAACCCAATCATAAATCATATCTAAGTATATTTAAATCCTAATTAATTCTGGATTATTTTCTTACTTATTATAATTACATAACAATATACTTTTAGAAGGAATACATGGGTGTCATTGTCATGTAACCCTCTTCACCAACGAACTAATTTAAAAGCAATTACACAGCATGGCAAGATGCTTTCTCCTAATTATCATACGCCAACTTTAACCTCTTCAATCTATAACAGGGGATAAAACCATAAATCAGGAAAAACTAATGACATATTTGACAGTAAAATACCAGCATAACGAACATACAAGTAAAAATCACTTTAATAATATATTTGCATCAAAAGGCAAAAGTGGAGGCACCGCCCTTGTCATCAGAATACAGCCATCAACAATATCAAGACCTATTCAAAAGGGGCCAAAGACAAACCTCCAACCCTTCACTGGGCCTACTCATCCATGTTTGGATATATATACTCCAATTTATTTATCGAGCATAAGAAAAAATATTAATTAATTTAATTGGCTACAAGGGATCTATATTCATATATTCTGAATAAAGCATTCGTTCTTGGTTTTCAAACTAAATCCACATTAACGAGGATGAATATTTTATGGATCATTAAGAGACTGAGAAATCTATTCATCTTGAAAATCAAACATTTTGTAATTGAAAGCTAGTTATAAGTAAAATCAGATCAATGACCTGGGTTTTATAATCGAACATTTTCTTGTTGGGAAAAGACGCTACAAGAAGAAAATTAAGTGATCAGAAAATCAAATGAACAATAGACAAAACAACAATCACAAGAAATCTGACCTAATCGAGGGCTAGCACCATAAGAAGCTCACTCGTCCATGAGAAAGACTGAATCAAAGATCAACAAAGATTGAAGGTGAAATATGAGGCATGATAGAGTTCGATGGCGAGGAAGGACATGGCAGTATAGTGGCAGAGTGTTTGAGACTAATTGCTTGAGAACATTGATTTGAGAGAAGAGGAAGAACACCAAGGGTTTGAGGAAAGCGTACAAAGAGAGATGAGTCGGGGCTGTGGGTTATCGAAGTGATATATTTTTTTCCTTATGTTTTTTCAATTAATAGAACCACTTTCTGCGCTGGGTAAAAGCTCAGCGGTGTAAAAATGCCTTTATTTTTTTATGTATATTTTTAGACAAAAAATAAAACAAACTTTTTACACCATGTATTATTTAATCGGTGTAAAAAATATTTTTTATACTGATTATAAATAAAATCAATATAAAAAATTGATATATCAAGCCTTATTATTTATAAAAATATCACTGTTTTATTTTTTTACACTAACTTTTATTTAACTAATATAAAAAAAATAGATGTAAAAAGTGTTTTTTACAGCAGTAAAATATATATATATTCATATACATATATACTCATCCATTTGACTGAGAATTTGACCGAAAAGCAATTTGTTGTGGGCCCCTACTTTTGAAAATTTCAAATGGTAAAGTCGATGCGTAAATATCACAACTGCAACCTGAATTCATGACTTGCAATCAATTTTTTTTTAATTTAATGTGGGCCTGCCGTAAATAAAACTGTATATATATATATATATATATAAAAATAAGATATGTTATATTTTAATGGTTAAACTGTCAAACTAAAATTTTCTACACGTGATCTGTTTATAAAACAAACTATTGAAGTGTGGCTGTGTGCCCTTTTATTTTAATATATTTTATTTGTTGAAAAGGTACATACCTTTAGCAATTCATCTTCATCATTTAAGTTCTAGCAAAAAAGCCACTCGTGACCAAGCCTCCACGTCTAAGGAGAAAATAAAACAGCGATAACCATGAACAGTAATTTCCTTAAATAAAAAAAAAACTTTCAATCAATCAGTTGGTGGTTTCATTAGTTTTGTCAGGCAACGAAAATAAGGCATGATCAGTACAAAATATAAAAATAATACCTTACATTTCAAAAACCTTAATTCAAAAAAACTCTAAACTTTAATGTTTTAATATGTAATTAATATAATTAAATAACTTTACAATACTTTTTATAAAAGTTACAAACCACCAATCTTCTTAAAAAAAAATTGGCAGAACTTTACTTGAAAATAAAACCTCTCAAAAAAATTTACAACACACATTGACAACATCAATTCAACAAAAGTAAAGTCAAACATTACAATATAAGAATCAAGACTTTAAATATAATTTATATGGAGCACCTAAAACATTATTTATTAAAATATAATATATAAATTATGATTTTACACCAAAATAGAAAATTAACCAAAATTGGGATTTCAACTTCAATTTAGAAACAAAATCCCTTCAAGTATCTGACGAACGTAAAGGGTCAACTATATTATTTAAAATAAAAAAAAATAATAAATAACGTCCCAATTTAAAATTGAAAGACATTATGGGAAGAACATCAATAAGTCAATTATAAACTTAGTATTAATAATTGAAATAATATAAACACATATCTCATAAATCAATAGTTATATATATATATATATATATATATAAAATTAAACCATGGATGTGTGAATTTAAATAAACATTATTAAAAATTCAATTTTCACCCCTTTGGCTATAATATATCCTTTAAACAATAAAACAACAACAAATAAATAAATAAATAAATAAAATAGAGCTCAATATATAAATCTCACATATGATGAAAGAACAACTTAGCAAAAATCAATTTAAATAAACAGGAAGTTATAAAACTCGTTATTAGCAGAACTTAATTAGAATGAATAACAAATGTAGGCATAAAGTTCATAAGAATAACTAACCAACAAATATGAACACACAGTTTACGAAAGTAGATAACCAACAAGCATGACTGAAAGCCACGAAACAAGCATAGTTGGAGGCCACAAATAACAAGTGCGGCAGAAGGCCATGAATAACAAGTATAGGCATAAAGCCCACGAAATAAGTATGAATATGATACTCTTAAATATCAAGCTAGCTAAAATTTAACCATGACATGTTAAGGGTTAATGAAATTGCCGTAAGCAACCAACATTTTGATTTAAATCCCACATTTTAAATCCATCATGTATGGATATGTAAAATCAACATATTATCTCTTTTCAATATTTTTCATTATACTCAACATAATTGAATTCATCAGTATATATCACATGACCAAATCATAATAAGTAGTTGTTCCTTAAACATAAAATCAAACATCGAATATAATCCATAAATTAAGTTCTTTCGAATATTCATTTGATAAATAAATTTAAATTTTTCTATAAAATTTTATATAATGAAAGTATTTCAATATATATTATGGTCGATAATAGCCTTAAAATAATAAATCACTAAGTAAAAATAATAAACTAAAATATTCTATCATTTATTCTAAAAATCAAAAGGTTCATGTCAATGGGAGAAGGTAGCGCATGAATAAGTTTTATCATTATTTTTAAGAAAATTAAATTTGCTAATAAATTATTAAAATGCTATTCACTTACTTAAAGGATTTGAAAACATAGCTTGCTTTCAAGTTAAACTTCATGTGGCAATGTTCGGTTTTTAAATTCTTATTGTCCAAATAACACTATTGTTATTTTCTTTTATAAATTTTATTATCCAAGACTTCAATTCAAAATTTCAAAGAGACATTACAAATAAACTTCAATTTCCACTCTTCTCAAACATTATATCAACAATTTGCAGACATAAACTCTTTAACTAATAAATCTAGGTTCTTTTATCCAAGTCCTATTCCAATGATTTTCCATAAATTTTTTTAATATCAACATACATCTAAATAAAACAAACTTCTCCCTTAACACATATCAACTTTAATACTAAAAAAACAAATCATCTTCCAACTTCATATTACCTGAAAGGAAAAAAATTCATAATCTTAACCAATAATTTATCAACAATCACATATCTTCAAAAAATATTTTTATAATTAAATTTTTTTACCACCTTTAAACTAAACTCAATTAAATAATATATGCATCGGTCATGCTTCTCACCATAATTAATAAAATTTAAAAAAAATAAAATCAAAACAAACTCTTTTATAAGACATTTTATCAAACATCTTGCATGCACAGTCTTTCAAGTTTTAATAATAAATTCAGCTCTTCAAATCTCTCCCCAAAATTTCTTCCAACAATTCTATAACACCAATGCTCCAATAAATCCAGCTCATCCATATAGTCATACAACCATAGAAATAGAGAGAAATGATCAGTTTTTATAAAAATTAGTTCTCATCCACGCATATTCAGCAAAGAGAGGCACATTTAGCAACTTCAACCATTAAAATGCCCACAAACGAAATTAAATTTACAAGAAGTCCAAAGCTTCAAACCTGAATCAGTGTGACAGAGAAGGGGAAGGCAAAGAAGAGGTCGACGCAGGGGAGGGAGAAGAAGCTGGTGTTGTGAACAGAGAAGGAAGATTCACAATCAGACCTCCATCAAAGCTCAGCTCTTCACATGATCACCAACCTTAATCGGACATGATGGAGGGGAAGAAGAACGCCCGACTTCCTTCACTACGACAAGCAGGGAGATGAAAGAGAAGAGTTCCAGCAACAATAAACAGAACCAAGGAGGAGAGGCCGACACACGAACAAGGAAGGACAGGGGAGGAGAACTCGCGAACGGCACCCCCTATCTCCGGCAACTCAGATCCTCACACACCCACTGGCAGCATACCGTCAACAATGAAGGAAGCAGGACAGAGAGTGAAGAAGGAGGAAGATCCTGAAGCACCCACGCAGCAGAAACTCACGTACAAATCAACGGCTAGCTGACTCACGAAGAAGGAAGGATGGAGAACGCCTGGACACGCTGGAATCAGGGATGAACATTCTGGATTTTTCTCTCTCTCCCCTCCCCCTCTTATGTAAAACGCGAAATTGGATCAGGGAGAAGGAAATAAATCTGATGGTGCCAAGGACCTTATGGTAATTTTGTAAAAGTTGAAAAGAGAAAAAATAAAAATAAAAATAAAAATAAACCCACTCTCGCATCTGCAGGAGTTGAAACCGGAACCTAAGAATTAATACCAAAGATACTTGCCACTAAACCATCACTTTACGTCGACACAGTTACCCCAACATTTCTATAAAAATATATTGAAAATTCCTTGTCATAAATTTTGGATTAAATAATTTTTTTTTTGTTATTACAAGTTTAGTAAGATTCCCACGGAGCAATGAAGAGGATCGGATTTATTTTTCTGAAAGAATAACCCATCCCATTATGCTTCCACCATGGGAAATAAGTCTTAAAGATAGCCAATTGAAGCAATTGCCGATAGTTACCCGAAGTTACTGCCGGTAACCATCACTGTAATTGTAGCTGTCTTCGTAAATGCCACACCCAAGTACAACAAAAATGGGTTTGCAGTAGACAAACTGATGAATTTTCGAAAACTTACCCACAGAAAAAAGTATTTTGGTATGAATGAAGCAACATAAGTAAAACAACGGATTCATGAAATTGAAAATAATTTCAGAGGTGTGGAGGCAATAGGAAAAAAAAAATTCAACAAAATAAATTTTTTTAAAGAATTGATTATAGGAAAAGCTTTGATACCAATCGTTAGATTTGATAAAAATTAATAGAAGAATATAAAGACAAAATTAAATCTTTATAAATTCATAAGATCATTCTTATATCAAAACTCAAAACTAGAGATAAAACACAGAAGCGTACATAAATCCACTGTCATTTTCTGTATTCAATCATATGATTGAAAGGTGTGTTTTTTAGATTTATCACTAGTGAAAACTTTGTATGTTTCCAATAAGGGACCATAACCCCTATTTATAAAATTAATAGGTTTGTGATATTTATTATCTGGCCCCTAAACAAATCATATCCCTAAATCTTAAAACTTTAATTTAAATAGATCACTTTATTCAAACTTAATTAAATAATAACTACACATTTTTAATGTGTGTGTGTGGCCCCATATATTGGATTTTTATTTCCAACATTTTTATCTAATCCTCTTAAATAAATATAATTTTTTTCTCGTACAAAAAATATATATCTATATATATAATTTTATCCAGG